TGGACCCTTCTTCAGAAATGATTTCTGAAGAAGGGTCCAGACCCAAACTGTCAGCTTTCCTGCTCCTCTGATGCTGCTTGGCCTGCTGTGTTCATCCAGCTCTACACCTTGTTATCTCAGATTCTCCAGCATCGGCAGTTCCCACTGTCTCTGAATTTTCTAAACAACTTGTCCAGAGATGTTACTGCACACCACTACTACTGTGCCACAAGAAGGCCCTCTGAATTATTGTGTTAACTTTCTCATAGAAACTACATTAAAGCTACAAATTTTACTTTCATTCAGGAGATGATTAAATAATTAATTGGGTGACTGTAACATTTTCTGCTGCTGAAGTGTATATTCCATATGATTGCCTGCATTGGTTTACACTTGTTTTCAGGAGAGAGATTTTCATTGCATAGTATCTAAAAGGTGAAGGGTGACACGTGTGATGGACAAGATTTGTACAGAGATTTTTTTTCTGTAGTTATACTAACTAGCAGAGCTGCCATAGCATAGCTTGTGGTAAGGCGCCTTCAATCCTTATAATGCCTAAGTAGGTTCTGTCAAAATGATGGAACTTTTTAGAAATAATTAGTTTTTGTAAATAATTTAGCATACTTGCCGTCATTGCTCAGATCACTGAACACAGGAGTTGGGACATCATGTAGAGGGTGTACAGGGCTTTGGTGAGGCCATTTCTGGAGTAATCCGTACAGTTTTGATCTCCCTGCTATGGGAAGGATATTATTAAACTGGAGAGGTTCAGAAGGATGTTGCCAGGATTGGAGTTATAAGATGCCGGATAAGCTGGGACTTTTTCCACTGGAGCATAGGAGGTTGAAGGTTGACTTTATAGAGATTTTATAAAATCACGAGGGGCATAGCTAAGGTGAATAGCAAAGTTCTTTTATCTAGGTTGGGGGACTAACCCTAAAACTAAAGGGCATATTTTTAAGGTAAGAGAAGAAAGATTTAAAAGGGGTCTGAAGGGCAACTTTTCACATAGAGGGTGGTTTGGATGTGGAATGAACTGACAGAGGAAGTGGTGAACGTAGGTACAGTTACAACATTTGAAAGACATTTGGACAGGTACATGAATAGGAAGGATTTAGAGGGATATGGGGAAAATGCAGGCAAGTGGGACTAGTTTAGTTTGGGAAACTTGGTCAACATGGATAAGTTGGACCGAAGGGTCTGTTTCCGTGCTGTATGACTCTGTGACTCTGTAATTGATAGCTATTGCTGACTGTACCTTATTGATGCTTTGCTTTCTGTTTTAAATTGTTCCTGCCATTCCTCTTGCTTGCTACTTGCCTGTTGGGTTATTCCCAGCTATTCAGTTGGGAATGGCTATTGTTTCAAGTATATGATACTTAAGTCAGTCTGACACACTTCCAAAACAAAAATCTGAAATACTGAGGTGTTACAGCAACAGAAATAATATTCCATTTCATCAACAAATACAAACAGTTCTGGGGCAATGCAGCTAACTTGGAGGACAGACATCTAATGATATTATGAAGAGATAGTAAGAACTGCTGATGCTGGAGTCAGAGATAACACAGTGTGGTGCTGGAGGAACACACCAGGCTAGGCTGCAACAGAGAAGCAGGAAAGCTGACATTTCTGAAGAAGGGTCCCGACCCGAAACGTCAGCTTTCCTGCTCCTCTGATGCTGCCTGGCCTGCTGTTTCCATCCAGCTCCACACTGTGTTGTTAGTGATATTATGAAGACCAGGTTAAACCATCTTCTACAAGATTAGATGGAACAACTGGAGCATCTTAAGTTTCTCCCCACATGGAGGTGTTTGGAAGCAGATGAAAAAGGCTCGACAAAACCAATCCAGAACTGGACTGAAGAGGTCGATGGTTTGTTTTCAAAAAACGTCAAACATTAAGTCATGTTGAGTTAAAAGGCCAAGACATGAAGTAACCACAAATATCTTTGAAGTGATTGAGATTGCTGAGAATGAGCAGAGAACAGCAGCTCAGGAGATCAATATAATTCAGCATTCAAATAAAAGAAGGTTTTTAGGTTTCTAAAAACTCCATATAGGTTCCATGAAAGGCCCTGAACTACAAATTAAATCAATGGATGAGATGCCACTAAGTTGAATATAAATTTAAGGGGACACTTAAAATTGTGTTCAAATGGAAGCATGCCAGCAAGTTTTCAGTACTACAATGACCCTAAATCGAGCAGACATCAGCTATAATAAGCAGCAGTTTCTAAGGCAATAGGATAGCTCTTCCTTCTCTGGGACATTTTAACTCTAAGTGAGAGTAAAATAAACCTTTGACCTTCACAATGATGTTTTGTGCAGGGTGGTGTACACCGAATAAATCATTTTTTGACTGCTTGATATGGCAATTAATAGCCTATTCAAAATTGATTTGAGAAAGCTGTAGGAAGCTTGGATGCCCAAAGGCCTGCATACCTTCACTGTGGCAGAATAAGGAGCCCCATCATAGTTGGGAAGTAGTGAGCGCAACAGTCTTTGATTAAAAAATTTTTGGCCTGGGATCACAAATAAACCATCTGATCATGAGTCAATGGAAATGACAGTTTTGAGGAAACTAAGTCTCAAAGGGATACCATTGTGCAATGGAGCAATCAGCTGACAATGATTCTGTTTGGACTACATTAAATTGTTTCGATTACACAGATGAGAAAGAAGCATTGATCCTTGAGTGATGCCCTCAAGGAAAGTAACATATGGACCATTATTGGGGACACATTTGCAGTTCATTTTATTTCAGTACTTTATGCTTCTGCTGACTCAACAGGTAATTAACATAATTAATAACTAAACTGCGCACATCATTTATTGATTCAAAATATTGCTATATAAATGCACTGGAAAGAGTAGGACATTACGTATAATGGTAGTTTCGAGAAGAAAGAAAAGCCTAATTCTAACTAACACAAGTATGGCTATTACAGCTCTAATGGCTCAAAGACAAGTGGAACAAAACTAATGCTAATGACAATTAAAATTAATGTCAATATGAGATATTCATGATGCTACGGCCTACTGCTGTGGCAGAATGAAGAAATAATTTGGAAAATAAATCATAAAATAATTGAGTCTACACTATGTAATGTAATGATATTGTTTGATTGAGAAATAAAGTACTTAAGTGAAAGTAAAGCCTTTAGTTGAGTGTATACAAACATCCATGGGACACCATCCACACAAATCAACTAGAAACCAATTATTTGGACTCCAGTAGCAATAGAGAATGTAAGAGTGATGTGCTTTGTTGAACTGAAGAAAGCCTGTGATGACAGTCTAAGGTTAGAGATCAATATTAAACTGAGAGATTTGGGCATGCAAGGAGCTGTGGAATCTGGAATTGAATCCTCCAAATTACATCACTGTTTAGAGTGTGGCAGCCTCACCATGGACGCAGAATGCTATAAGCAATGATTAATGATGCCCATAACCAACTCCACAGGTACGAGCCAGAAACTACACGCCAAAAATCACAGTATCTAAACTCAACGGACCAGCAATGGACTACTAGAACAGGCCATCACCATCAATCAACACAAAACCAAAACTAAGAAGGGACATAAACTACAGGAAAAACTCACCAAACTGATCCACCACAAAAACAAGGACAACAAATTGGACACATGGATAAGAAACCTAACAGACAACTCACAGAAACTGAGAAAGCTGTCCTATTACACGGACTGAACTATAACCACAAAGATGCGAACGGAACAGACTTCATGGTTGCCCTGGAGACTACATTAAAAGACAACAAACTTATGGACGAAACACAACAAGCAATCCGACAAACTATAATTCCCACACAGCACAGAAGGAACAAAGGGACAACCTGAACACAGCAGAGAGAAAAGCACTAGACAAACTCAAGAAAGACAAGAACATCATAATCCTACCAGCAGACAAAGGGCAAACAATTCAACAATCTCATCCACAACCTGAGCTACAGATCCTTGCCAATACTTTAAGCCTCACCATGGTTTGGCCGGGGGTTGGGGCATAATTGCTACTCTGAGTCCTTTCCAATGCATGCTTGCATTTCAGATGGTTCATGAGTCACCTATCAGGAGTGCAAACCTCTGTTCATTCCTTCTAGTGTGATTGTTAACTCATCCTAGCCTGACTCGAGTCTAGAATCTTTCTGAATTGCACACGAACCATTTCACAAAGTACAGTACATTGACAATTTGGGCTATCTAAAAGCATCTGTTTCAAATCATCTGTTGAGACAAATAAAAATGATACAAAGATGTCTTACAAATGTTCACTGAAGATGCTAACTTTCAAATCTTAAGCACTATTTTTAAAATAATCAAATACTTATTTGACTACACTTCTTGGTTAAGTGACAACAGTACATTTGTTCTAAAATGCTCTCTAAAAATGATTTCATAATTCACCTATCTTTCCCAGGACCCTATAAAGGAAATACCATTTCTGTAGTTATGTTTAATGTAGTTATTCTCAAAGTTTGCCGAGTGGAAAATTGTTAAACTGGAGTGGCAGATTCCTGTGGAGTGCTTTAATTCCGAATTACAGCACTTTAGAACAGGAAAGGGTGAATGATACCATGGGCTCGCTCATTGGGAGTGCAATCAATTTATTGGGAGGAATGAGGAGGCAAGCTAGTTACCAGCAGGTATTTATTTCCTGCATTGATAGTACTGTTGCAAATCTTTGAATATTCAGGCAGCTTCGGGCTCTGCTGTCTTCAAAACTCCTCACAAAACAGATCCAGAGGAGTAGATTCAATACTCCACAGTTTAAATAGGGTTTATTCAAGTTTAAATATTTGTTTGCCTTCTGTGCAGAATGCATTTATTCTGAGAATGAGAATGTCTTCATGAGCCACGGGTCCCCACTGTCATGGAGAAATAAATGAATAGTAAGTTCATGCCTCTCAATTCTACTTCAAAAGTCTGTTCGATGATTCTTCTCCAAATTTGGAGCTCTGTGGAGCGTCCGTGAGGTGGGCACCCCAGAATAATTTTGCTGGTCCTTTGTCCTTACCAGGGAGATAAAAGAACAACTTGGGGTTAAATCTTTGCACTGGGCTTTTGAATACTCATGAACCAAGAAGGGAGGAATATACCCCTCTCAGCCTTGCAAGTCTTCCCCAATTTAAAGATTCCCAGGGTTTTCCACTCATCAACACCCTCAGGCATGTACTCCACTCACAGCTTATTTAGGCTATTGAGTTAATATCTAGGTCTTGGAGTTGAAACGTTAGCTAATAAAATACTACCTGCTCTTACCAGCAAAAGCAGAGCTGCTTGGAATTTTATAGTTATAAATTTACATTATGCACAAATGAGGCAGTCTCAAGAATGAGAAATAATCAGTATTCCACAAATTTAATCATAGAGTGTAACTGTAGATCCATGTCTTTTTATTCTTCTGTATTTTTGGTTGTGGACTGGAATGTGAAAAGGACTGTAGAAATGATTACTGCACGTTTTAAGAGCTGACTGATTTTTACACTGCTGTTTGTTAATGCAATGGAACAAGTTTACTGCAGATCAGATGGAGCCAGGGGGCGTATACAACAGGAAATTTGGCCAGCAACAACTAGCTGATTATTCTGTGGAATAGTGACCAGTTGTCAAAAACAGAGGCCTTCTACCTAGCTTAACAGCTTGAGTGTGTGAATGTTTAGCCAGAAGCCATCAGAACTCCAACAAGGAAGGAAATTTTTTTTCCCCTGTAGAAAAAAAGTTAATCCTGAAGAAAGCCAATTTCCTCTCATCAGTTGCAGTAAGCTGTTACTTTTAACAAATAAGCTAGAGACTTTGGAAGTGTGAACCAGTCACTCTGTGCCTCCTGCAAGCAAGTGAAAGTAGCTGCAGAAGCAAGAGTGAAGTGCAGCAAGCCCTGACAAGCCATAAGGATCATCTCAGTGAATACTGTGGACAGGGACTATTGATCTTCCCAGCCTTACTATCCACCTAAAACACCTTTTTCTTCCCATGTCTATTAAATGTATGAGAGTGGAGGGGGAGTTTTATAAGAGAGAGTTCAAACTAGTAGAGTTATATTTTGATGGCTCTTAATTGTTTGCCTGCAGTTAAAATGATTTTATGTAATAAATAGTAATTATGGTTAAGTGTAAAAATCTGGTCCATGCTTTCTGTGAACCTGAGCCTAAAAGACATGAAAATTAGGGAAATTTGCATACTGTATAAAACTTCTAACTTTTGTGACAAGTATAGGAAGGATGTTGTGAAAATTGAAAGGGTTCGGAAAAGATTTACAAGGATGTTGCCAGGTTTGGAGGTTTGAGCTATAGGGAGAGGCTGAATAGGCTGGGGCTATTTTCCCTAAAGCGTCAGAAGCTGGACAGTGACCTTAAAGAAGTTTATAAAATCATGAGGGGCATGGATAGGGTGAATAGACAAGGCCTTTTCCTCAGGGTGGGGGAGTCAAAAACTAGACAGCATAGGTTTAAGATGAGGGGGGAAAGGTTTAAAAGGGATCTAAGGGGCACATTTTCACACAGAGGGTGGTGCATGTATGGAATAAGCTGTCAGAGGAAGTGGTGGAAGAACATTTAAAAGGCATCTGGATGGGTATATGAATAGGAAGGGTTTAAAGGGATATGGGACAAATGCTGGCAAATGGGACTAGACTAATTCAGGATATCTGGTTGGCATGGACAAATTGGACCAAAAGGTCTGTTTCCATGCCGTACAGCTCCATGATTCTATGACTCCAGGAATAGTGGGGCTTGGTTTCCATTACAAAACCCCAGTGAAGCATAACAGAACTCAATTTTTAAAATGTCTTAATTCAAATGAATAATAGGTATGGTTTACTCTATTATTACTTAATTAATAAACAAGTTATAATTTCAAGGTCCTCTCATGGATTATGTCTCTACTGAAAATATTCTGTTGTTAGAAAGAGAATATTGCACTACTTCAGTAAACTGTCAAAACAAAACTGGTACAGGGTACTGGAAACCAAGTTACTAAAAATGGTAGACAGTTAATTCTAATACTTGAAGAGCCTTTCTTAATCAAGTAAGTACCAAATCACATCTGTGCTTTCCTGCCAAGTACAAAATTGATACGTTATGATACCAAATAGTCAGAAACACTTGCCAGAATGTCTGTAACTAGATTGATGATTATCAAGGAGCAAAGTAATCTTTTTGGAAGCCACAAACTATGATATAACAGAACAAATATCTGCCTAAAAAAGTTCAGCTTAGATGTACTGAATCATTTACTCAATTAAAGAGGGTGATCCATCAAAACTGAACATTTTCACAAGATGACAAAATAATTACAGATCAGTGAGGTCATTTGGCTCCTTTTGAGGAATCATACTAAGATGAGTGTTTTAAAACTTAATTACGTAGACATAAAGGCAGAACTCGCTAAAGTAAACTGCAAAATTAGTAAAGGATAGGCCAGGAGAAATGCAGTGATGTTCAAGGAGATATTTGAGAGATTTAACTGAGAAAGAAAAAATATAGAAAGATGCATAATACGTGGTTAATTACAGAAGTTAAAGACATTATCAAACTGAAAGAAAAAGTGTATAATTTCATGAAGCTCAGTGTAATGTCAGAAGATTAACAAAATGTTAAAAGAACAGCAAAGAATGATTAAAATGAAGAGGGAAAAATTGTACTGTGATACTACTAGAAATGTTTTCTAGCGGTATTAAGAGAAAGGATAAGTAAGTAGCTTGGTCCTCTAGAAAGTGAGTCAACAGAATTAATTTTGGGAAGTAAGGAAAATTGAGGAATCATCGAACAGATATTTGTGTTTGGCTTCACATTGGAAGATAATATCCAAGAAATGTTTGAAAATCAAAAGATGAATGGGAGGTAGGAATTTAAAACAGTGACAGCCATTAAGGAAAGGGAAAGCACTGAGAAAACTAGAAGACTGACAAAGTCCTGTTGGATTTCATCCTAGAATCTTAAAAAAAACATACCGTAGTAGATGTATTAAATCATAATTTTACAAAATTCCCTAGATTCTGGAAAGGTGCTATCAGATTGGAAAATAGTGAATTTAATTCCTTATTCAAAAAAATGAAGTAGAAAGCAGGAATCGACAGGCTTGTTAGCTCGACATTTGACAGAAGGAAATCGCTGGAATTTTTAATTAAGGAGGTTGTACCAGGGCAATTAGAAAATCTTAATGCAATCCAGCAGAGTCAATATGGTTGTGTGAAAGAGAAATGATGTTTGACTAATTTATTAGAGTTCTTTGAGGAAGTAACGAGTAACATGGACAAACAGGAACCTTTGAACGTGGTGCACATGGATTTGCAGAAGGCTTCTGACACAAAGTTACTACAAATAAGACCTTAAGATGTAGGGAGTAACATATCAGTATGGGTAGAGGATTACTTAACAACCAGGAAACAGGATAAATGGATCACTTTTGATGTACTCAGTTGAATGCTACAAGCATCAGTGCTGGGACCTCAACTACTTAGAATCTTGCATACCGATGAAGGGACTGAATGTATGGTTTCAAAATTTGCTGATGTCATAAAGATAGGTAGGAGAGTAAGTTGTAAAGAAGACATCAGGAATTTCCTCAAAGGGATACAGGATACGTTAAGTAAATAAGCAAAAATTTGGCACATGAGGTATAAAATGGGAGACTATGAACTTTTCCAATTTGGCAAGAAGAATAGAAAAGCAACATATTATTCAAATGAAATGAGATTACAGAATTCTGAAGTTGAAGGGATCTGGTGTCCTGTTACATGAATTACAAAAAGCTAGCATATATGTGCAACAAGTGATTAAGAAGGCATTGAATTTTCTTTTATTGAAAGGGGAATGGAATATAAAAATAGGGAAGTTTTGTTACAGTTGTACAGAGCATTGATGAGACCACATCTGTAGCACTGTGTAGAGTTTTGCTCTCCTCATTTTAAGAGAAATGCAGTGGAGGTAGTACAAAGGAGGTTACTTGTTTGATTCCTTGGATGAAAGGATTGGTTTTATGAAGAAAGGTTGGACAGCTTGGAGTTAGAAATAATAAGAGGTGATCTTAATGAAACAAAATAGTTCCTGATGGAACTTTACAAAGTGGATGCTGAAATGAGGTCTCCCCTTGTGAGGGAATGTGTAATGAGGGGATTCAGTTTGTTAAAAAAAAAAAGGGGGGCCTCCCATTTAAGACAAAAGCAATGTTTTATTTCCCTCAGAGGGTCATTAGCCTGTTGAATTCTCTTCCCCAAAGAGCAGTCAGGGCAGGGTCATTGAACATTTCAAGGCTGAGTTAGATAGATTCTGGAGTAACAAGACAGTCAAAGTACGAAAGGTTCAGATGGGAAAGTAGAGGCCACAATCAGATCAGGCAAGATCTTATCTGTGGAGCAGGCTTGAAGGGCAGAATCGTTTACTCCTGCTCCTAATGTCTATGTTCATATCCAGTCAGAGATTCCAATGCCACCTGATTGAATATGAAAATATGAACACTAGTTAGCTTCTCTAGATATTTGGAGGGGGAGTTGTGTGGAAGTGGCAGCGGTTGAGTTTAATAAAAGCATCATAGCATGCAAATATGGGAAAAACAATTTCCAATGGCAGAAAGGTTACTAACCTGAAGGGACAAAGAATTAGCTACCAAGCCAAAGGCAAGACAAGGATAAATGTTTTTGCACTGTGACTTTTTCTGATCTGGAACCGGGTGCCTGAAAGGATAGTGAATGCAGATATACTAATAACTTTTGAAAGAGAATTGGCTGAATACTTGAAGGGGAAACATGCATAAGGCTATGGGAAAGGGCAGGGGAGTGGGACTTAATGTGTACTTCTTGCAAAGTGCTGATACAGGCATTATGAGCCAAATGGCTTTCTTCTGCATTGCATCATTTCATAATTCTATGCTTGAACAATGGAAACACCATTTCTGAGCCCTTGTTATATTTGTATTTAATGCTAAATTTAATCTAAATGAAAGATATACATTAGTACTATAATTAAGATTTTAATAAATAGTAATAGCTATTGGTGAAATTGGTGCATGATTTACAATCAAGAAAGAAGCACCAAAAATCCAATTTCAGATCATGTTCCTGTGTGGATTGTGTCTGAGATACGTAAAACAGAAAAAACATAATTGCAAGCATTACACTAAATCATTGTAATTTTGCAACCAGTGCAGGAAGCAAAATGAAGTCATGAATTAAGTGCATCAAATAATGTGTAAAGTACAAACAAAATACTGTGGGTGCTGGAAATCTGACAAAAATGCTCAACAGATGGCAGTATTTGTGGAGAGAAAAAGTCTTCACGTTTCAGCGCATTTGGTCAAGCCTGATTTTCTAAAAGTATGTTCGACCCTGTTTCTGAAAGCCGACTGAGAATACCAGTGGATGCTAAATTGAAAAGTTCTAATTAGCTCACAAATATATGAAGTCAGTTGTATTATATTTATCCTATTACAACAGGCATTTTGTGATATGGAATCCAATGGAGGAGGATGGACTGTAATACAACGTCGTCAAGATGGCAAAATGGATTTTCAACGCACATGGAAAGAATACAAAGTGGTAAGATTTTTCAAAGTGACTGTAGATAACCAGCAAGTGCAATGGGCCCTTCTATCCTTTAGGATCTGGATTCAAATTTGGCTCAGACTGATTTAAAGATAATAAGTGAAAAAAAACAAATCAGCAAAAATCAACTGCAGATGGGTGACCCGAGTCCACAGAACCAAACTTGGCAACGATCTGTAAATTTCATTCAGATTGGCCATAGAAATGGCCATCTGGGAAATGTACATTTCACACTTGTATACTGGAATTCCCCTCTTCACAGATTATTGTGGACAGTGTTTAATTTTGTGTATATATCTTGAGGAAGTCAAGTGGTTATTGGTCCTGTATGGACTGACTCCATCCTTGAGATAATGTCATTGCTGTGAACCACGTAACAGTAATTCCCACAACTCCCACCCTGCCCTGTCCTTCTACTGGGTAAAACAGTTGTGGCAATTCAGATGCTCTGTGTCCAAAAGTTACCTTTATCTTCAGATGTGAAAGTACACGAGGCCCAAATCCCATCACTTTACGCAGATCTTTTACTTATGTAATCTTAGGAATCAGATCCTTTTATAAATTTGTGCTTTGTGTTGAGTTCCCTGATACGCATGCACCCCACTTATCCTGAGCCACCCACTTGTGCAGGCAAAAGGAACTGACACGTCTTTGGAGTGATTGGGAGAAGGAAAAATAATTTTTTTTCCCCAACATTAATTCATGGAATGTGGGTATTGCTGGCTGGGCCAGCATTTAGTATCCGTAACTAGTTGCCCCTGAGAGATGCTTGGCTGGGATGTGGTGATTTAGTTTGAGTGTGTGGTGGGAAACTGAGACTGGGACGAGAGTGGGAAACAGGGATTTGGAGAAAGAGGGTGGGAATACCACCAGGAGGGCTGTCAGCTAATCACAGTCAATGTTTTCCGCAATAACTTGTTATAAACAAAAGTAATCTGAAAGATTGTAATAAATTAATTCAAAATAACAGATGTTCAATGTTCTCAGCTCTAATGATTAATCATGTTAAAATAATCATTTCAAAGGAAACACATTACAGAAGTCTAGGCAACTACCAGGAACATTTGCAACATTTGTTTTACTTTTGTGGGATTAATTAGCTTTGAATTTCTCTCAGTATTTGTTTAAAAAAATGCCTTCGTTCTCTGAACATGTGTTTCAGAGGCCCGTGCATGTTATAAATGGCCCCAATTCAGGCTAAACTTCTTCATGAATAGTTGGCATTCCTCCATACAGTTGAGATGACCTTACCCTATGTTGTCATGAACTCCTTTTTTCCTACGCCTCTTGAAGGTGCTTACTTGTATAACTCTACAGATACAAGTGCCCTCACAGGACGCATTCAAATAGCATTTTGTTACGTGTGTGATGAAATAAGATCAGTCACAGTAAAGCCTAATGCTGACTTCACCAGCTGTGCATTATCCAACAATGGTCACTGGATGGTGATCAAAAGCAGGCATATTTCTGATGATTATTTCAGGGGAAGGAAGCCAACTGCAATGGCCTCAAGCTCAAACCAACTTACTGAACAGACTAGAAGTCAAACTTAAGGTTTTGCTGGTCTAAACAGCTTAGTAACATTCTGGGAAACACAGTTGACCACTTTAATATTGGGAACTCATTGTGGTAATCCAATTGACAAAGAGTTATATGATTGTCTGAGTTGGGGCTCCAACAAACTTTACTCTAAGATAAAAGGACATAGATGCTTCCACATAGTGAGATAGGTTGGATGCCAATTTGTGCGGAAGAAAAGCACATTGTTTACCAACTTGCAACTAGTAATAGAGTGGCATTGTCACATGCTGTCAAATTATCTTCCCAGCTGGGAAAAGGTTCAATAAAGGAAAACCACAGGTATAGAAAAATACACACTAAAACTCAGGGAAAATATTGATAAATAATGTGTTATTCATATCACTTCTTAAAAAGTGTTTTAGAATAAAACTCATGAATTACGACAATGTTCGAACACAATACTGCAGGAGATCTTTTACATTTAATAAATAACAGTGCAATTCTACAAACTGAGCCTGATTACTTCAGTGGATAGGAGAGATGGCAGAAAGGCGTGGTTCAGTTTTGCAATTTCACTCTGCTTCTGTAATCACCAAATAGTACTGAGTATGTTGAACATTCTTTCATTACAAATGTACAAAAATGTATTGCTGTAAGTAAACATAATTTGTTTATAGGGATTTGGTGATCCTGCTGGAGAATATTGGTTGGGGAATGAATTTACTCATCAGCTAACCAACCAGAAGACCTATGTCCTTCGTATCCAAATGCGTGATTGGGAAGCAAACGAAGGCTTTTCATTGTACAACCAATTCTACTTGGATAGTGAAACGCAGAAGTACAGGTCAGTATTTCAGAAATAATTATCATCTGGAAAACTTGGGCTGAATTTTTGTCAGGGTACAGAGGTGATTTTCAATATGTGATTAGCCACAGTGAAATTTGTTTTGGTGGAAATTCAGTTCCTCCGCTTTGCCAACACCACACCATTTTCCTTCAGCCCTTTTGCATGCTGAGAATGCCTGGTTTCAAACCCCACTGAGGTCAGGCTCCCCAGTTCAAATGGGGACCAAAAATCTGATTTCCTCTTACACACGATTTTAAACAGTGGGTATGGGGTTTGGGAAGCTCATTAAAGCATGGCAGGTTTGGTATGACAATTTGTGAAGAAAATGGAAAAGCTGCTGAGAAGTCTTAATTGTATTCATGTCAATTGTACAGAAGAATGTTACATTGACCTTTCAGATAATATGACAATCTTCAAATATCAGTATTAGATATAATATATACTTTTGTAATGCATTGATTTATAAGGATCTATCTTTTTGACACTTTGATTAGACTTGTGCATTTGTTCACCCAGTGCTTTTCTCATGGAGAAAGTATTATAAAGCAATGAAAAGAGTTTAATACATACTGCCAGTCTGTGCCATCATATTTTCCATTGCGATTTTAATGGTTCCAAGCTTATTTTTTAAAAACGCCTGGTTTTAACACTTGAAAAAAATCCTGTCATTGCTTTCCTACATTGATTGGCAGACACTCTGCAATGAAAGTGAAATGAGCACTCTCTGTTCTTGCCTGTCTGAAGGCCAGCCTATTGTTTGGACAAGTGTGGCCACAATCAAAGGTTCACCAAGTTTCAAGTGCTTAATGGGATTCGGCAAGTTCATCCCAGAATGAATGACATTATCAAGATGTTGTAGTAACACATTGTGCCTTTGTCATGGCTTGTGGCAAGTTTATAGGATGACAAGTATGACAGTCATCTTTATTCAAACAGAATGCATTTTTCTCAGTACTCAATGATATGCAGATTTTGATTGGATGTTGAGGGATTCACCTTTTTTCACCCAAGCAATGTAAAATATTTTTATTGATATTGCATGGAATCTGAGGACTGTACATAGTGCATACTGGATGAATGGTTACGGAGGATGCATGGGGAGCATGTCAGTTGCAAGACTGACCTAAAGGAAATGGTGTATTCATGGGGACATGGAGGAGGCTGGGCTGACATTTGGGAGTTTTCTTTGAGCTGAAAGGAAGATTTGGCCCCGTGTTTCAAGAAGCGGATACCTGTATACTTTCTGGCACAAATTAAAATTTTTACTATTTGTGCTGTGCATATCCTGCAGACTTGTCTCACCTTCAAGACTTATGCCCTGCAATAAGAAGCAGCTCCAACTATTTAAATGGATACCTATAAGGTTATTAGGAACATCTGAAGACTGTAATTCTATAGTTCCATTCTGGAAATCTGGTTCTGGATACAAAGCAAGAACAAAGGGAGAAACAATTAATTAGAATCATACCTTGTCTTAATTTATCTCCTCTGCATTTAAATAAAATACTTGTTTTGTTAAGTATCCTTGCAAAAGTTCAGGTATTTGACAAAAGATTGTGAAATATTATCAGTGTTTGAAGTGAAAAGAAAATGAAAGACAATAGGTGCGTTATTCAAAAACAGGAAGAGAAAAGTGTTCAGAGAGGAGAATATTTAGGGGAAGAGAGAGAATGAAAAGGAAGAAAGATTGGGGCATACATAATGCTAATTTACCCAGCTAAATTTGGGTTCACAAAATAAAAACAAAGAACTGCGGATGCTGTAAATCAGAAACAAACATAGAAATTTCTGGAAAAGCTCAGTAGGTCTTAGTAAGGGTCACTCGACCTGAAACGTTAACTCTGATTTCTCTACACAGATGCTGCCAGACCTGCTGAGCTTTTCCAGCAATTTCTATTTGGGTTTACAAAATCCTGTTTCCATGATTGGAAAATCGAGTTAGTTCTTCATTTGCATTTTGGCACTCTTTGTTGCTTAATCAAATTGATTTCCATTTGTTATTGATTGTTTTGGGTGTTACATCCTTTGCTGATGGCGCGATGGAAGGGAGGCGGAGGTTGGTGCCCTATGTGAATCTGTCTCCTGTAATTTTCAACTCAAAATCTACAATTGCAGTCATTTCATTCGGGCCCGTCTCTGTCCCAGGCAGCTATAGAATGTGTTTTGTCTTGTGAATGTAATTCCACTGCCAATATCAAAGATGAATATTTGTTAAGACTAAGACACAAACAAATGTGAATTAAATGGAACACAAGACCAAGGTTTACTGGTGCTATTGTTAGAAACAAGTGTTACTAATCAACGCCACAGAGTTTTACTACATTTCAAATGCTGAGTGAATTAAATAGACACATCTCTAAACAAAACACATGAAAACAATAGTGAACAAAACATCAGCTGCACCATCGCCATCATGACTTGAGTTCCATGATTAAACATTTCAGTCCACATTATATCCTAGGAGAGGGGATTTTAAAAAAAAACAGGGCCAGTGAGTGAAACAAAAACCTGGAAAATTTTTCTCTGCCTTCAGACAATCAAAATTGTACAGTACCGGAGATGACATTGACACAGAATTAGTATATCTATATATTTGGACCCTGCAATAGTAAAGAACAAGTTCAGGTCCCTTTCAAAGGCATTGACAGTCAACATCAAATAGTACCAGTCAGCAATGAATTTCAGAGTCTAGCTCCCTCGAAGCACTCTGACAAATTGAAATAATCTCTCTGTAGGCATATATTTTAATCCTTCCATTATTGTATATACCTACTAATCAAAAAATTCTGTTTATGATTTAAGTTTTTTCAGATACCAAATTTACTTGGTGGTTAACAGTAATACCTCCAAGCATTTAATTCAAAACTAAAAACTGAAAATAAATCAGTATATAGTAGCTAGTACAGGTCTAACTGAAATTCCAAACATTTTACTGATACCAAATAAATATGAAACTGTGTGAAAATAGATCTCATTATTCTTCTGCAAAACACAAGATCAGCAAAGTCAAAATTCTATTTTGTCAAAACAACAGAAGGACAGCTTCCTTGGTATCACCATGGTAAGCCATTTACACCGTAGAAATGAGACAGTAGTATACACCACCTTTCACATGGAACAAACTTGTAAGAGTGTTCCCTAGAGACAAAAACAATTAATGGTTCCTGGAAAATAAATAAGTAATAGTTTCCTTACTCAGTGAGAGTCAATAAATAAATTGAATTGTTGCCCTCACGTATCACATTTAAGTAAATAAATAAATTCCTGCACATATGGGTTTTTAAACAAAAGACAATCTATAAATCTTAAATTACTAAATAAATTTCAATTTTCTTTTATCAAATACTTCTGCTTTTGTGTGAAGCATTACCAATGGTTCTGCCTAAATAAGCACATTTATGTTTAAGACTTCTATTTGGAATGCCTCCAAACTTGAATAATGCTGTAATTTCTTCAAGAACATGCTGTGTTATGCATTATTTTGCTTTCCTGCTTGTTTTTCAATTCCAACACATGCCTAAAAAAATCCATTTACAAAACATTGCAAAATACAAGGATGGGCTTCAAGTCATTCCAACCGAGTTCATTCACCACTTATATTTTCTTGCAGTACTTGTTAAATGTAGCTGCAAGAAGTTGGCCAGTCAAAAACATGGCCAAAAGTTTCTACTTTGGCTGTGAGCAGTGATGTGCAAATAAATTAAACTAAAATTACTTTACTCTTGCAAAGTGAATTGTTTGCTCAAGTTTCCTTGTATATTGACATATATAAAATGTGCCTTGAACTAACACAAATGGGCAATGTTTTTATAAAAAATACTTAAGAGTAGAAATCTGGTATAATTTTATTAATACACATGAAAATGGATTCATGACAAAAAAAAATTAATCTAGTCCACTGCTGCAAATCATTTGAAATAATTGAAAATACTTTTTGAAAAGTCTATACAAAACCACTTCCTCATTTCATAAATTGGTCTTCTGTAATTCATTGCTTAGTAACTTTTAAGATTTGAATATTTAAAAACTTTCACAAAGATACCCATAAGTGCTCTTGCTCCTTTAAACAAGTTTATTTTTCACAAAGCCTCGTAGGGCTGAAATAAGCACAAGGAGTGCAAACTTGATGGCATGGCCAATATCTAGCATAATGTTAGAGTTAGAGTCAGATTCAGAGTCATAGACATTCTTGGATTTACTCAAAACAAAAGATGATTTGCCTTGGGTGTAAGTTGCAATTGAAGTTCTTTGATCTTTAGCCTTGGTTTGGCTGATTTTGGGTAAATTGCAAACCAGTGAAAACTCCAGACGTGTGTATAGATCATCCTACCTTCAAGCCTTTAAAAAGATAAAGAATTCATGTTTGGCTTTACATTTGATATTTTAAGCAAAAAAACGCCCAGTAATCCCAGCTCCTTCCTCTGCTCCAAAAAGCAATATTTTCACCTCAGTCACACTGCAGCTTGTGGCTAGTTTTTGCAAATTATTACTCTTAGCATATTCGTTGAATAGTCAGTATTGCAAACAGACTTGAAATTTGTTAAGTTTCTGGCATGGATACAGGCTGCAAGTTGGACCTTGATACGTTGTTGACCATCCTTAGGGGACATTGATGAATTTGAAGCTGCAAGATTTCAAGTACAGGCATTTGGGGAAAAGGGGGTTATTGTGAAGGGTTGGGTTCTGATTCTCAGAGCCTTTCAAAGTGATGGACCAGAAGACTAGAGGAGAAAGATACTTGAGGTATTGCCAACCAGAGTGGGTTGACAAGAAATGAAGGAATATGCTGTATTGTGCATTATTTTGCTTTCCTGCTTGTTTTTCAATTCCGATGCATGCCTAAAAAAATCCATTTACAAAACACAGCAAAACACAAAGATGGGTTTCAAGTCATTCCAACTGCTGACAACAGTGGAGAAGCAAAATTAATGCTGTAAAACTGCCATATGTTGGTACTTTGAACACCAGAAACTGCTTTAAGTGTGACTACAGGTCAG